TGCATAATTTGAAAGAATGGCAACATGAAAGCTCTCAAAGTTAAAAGGAATAACGAGGGGATCAACTTGTATCCAGTATGGTGGGATTCCGTAGACTGCAGGTCTATTTGTTTTTTGTAATTCTAAACATGTGGATATTAAAGCACCACATGCTTTAGTACCTTTCTGGCAGTAGCTACTAAATTGTAGTTCAATGTATTTCTTTCCTGGTAAGTAATTTAAGTATTTTGTTAAATTTATAATTACACAATGTTTTTGAATCAAATTTGATCAAGAAATGGGTGTAAGACAGTATGGAAAATAATGTGTGTCATCAGTAGGGGTGGATTTTGATGACCTAAACATTGTCAAAAATGATTAATAAAATGTTCTTAAAATGTTCTAAAATGCCATAAAAGCAAAGAAAATTATGTAAAAAATGTTATCAAAACATATGTTACTGATGTAATCGAGGTTGCTTCTGTTCATTCAAGTGCAGTCAGCTTGCCAACTTTTGGTTTGGAATGTTCTTTACCAGGAAAACTGTCGTTAGTTATCTTGAATTCGGCCGAAACCACAATGGCGCTGACAGGCATCCCAGGAACCTTATATTACACAAAACATTACAATTTTTGAGCAAAGAAATTGAATAGGCTACTCAGGAATTTTTTGGAGAACATTTGTGGCATCTCGTAAATATTATTTAAAGCACATGCCTTTAAAATCAATGAAATGAGCCAAAAATGCATTAAAAATGATGGAAAAAGGTAAAAAACTATTTCAGTCGAAATCAACAAAAAAAATAAAACCGGTCATTTCCTTCTGTCATAACATAAATTAATTTCTATTGTAAACAGCAATGTTCTAAAGTGAAAAGAAAACATGGCATATCATTAAAATCTGCTCCCTACTCATCAGTTTTCCTGAAACAACATATTATAACCTTGATTTGGACAGAAAATTATAATAATGTATCAGAGTTAGCTTGATCGAATGTTTCCAGATGTGTCAACTGCTGTGGTCAGTAGTCCTGCATGTGTTGCGCATGTCATATCCTGGGAGGTGGCGGTGTTCCTTCTCCGCTGGACCATGAATTCTGGCGCCAATGGGGTTTCTCTCCTCCAAGTATCTCTGCTGGTGGAGCATTGTCTTGGCTGGGAACCCTCTAAGCTCCCCAACATATATGGTAGTGTAGCACATGTAAGTGTAAAAGGAGAGATGGGGACAAGGGTGAGGAAGGACAGTTTGTGCACAGTCAATGACCTGTTTGTCAGCTTACTGCTCTAGCATTTGCCTGGTACTGAGCACAGAAACCACAGAAAACTACCAGTCAAAGCTGGCTACTAGAATTCTTCCCCAGTCAGTGAGTGAATGCGACCTAGCTATTTAGCTAGTATAGCAAAACCTGCCACCATCGAGACCTGAATCCTAGGGCCTCCCATTCACTGCAGTGACAAGTTATTGACTTGAGGTAACTCAGCCAGCTAGAGATAGATATCAGAATCAGATTCAGGAAATGATATTGAAAAGGATGTCAAAACAGGTCCAACACCTACAATAGTAAATATAAAGGAAGTGAGGCATGGAAAATGCATGAAGACTTGTGCAAGTGGCAAGTAACACAAAGAAACTCTGTAAAACCTTATAAGTAATGTTTCTGCAAAACGTGTTGGTGGGTGCCCTGATAAGAAATCACTAACATGACTATGACTTTTAAAAGAATTTAGTCAATTTTTTTTTTCCATTAGTTCCTTTCTCGTTCTTCTAGTTTTTTATGACTCAAATACTAAAAATCAATCCTTCATTAGAAACTTATGTTAGTAACTTTTGGAAATTATACATAGTACTTATAATTAATTTTAAAAAATGATTAACTGCACGGTCATCAAATTCTCTAAAAATAGCCACTTTTGCAATTGCTTCATCTTAATATAGTTGTTATAGTTAAATGTAGAGTTAACTGTTTATTATATCAGAATCAAAATTTTTCTTTCAAAGTCCCATGTATATTTTTCCTTATTTTCAGTCTTCTGCGCACAGCTGTACAGAACCCTCTCGCATTAAATTTTGTTAGAAATATCCTTGTTTATTGAATAGAAAAATTGAAATAAATGGTACAATAGCACTTCAATTTTTCTTTACCATAGATTTGTATATTTCTTGAAATACACAAATACTGAAGTGCCATCTTTTTGAAAACAGTTTGCTAACAATTGTTCTTTGTTTACTAACATCACTAAATGTTGATAAATTTATAAACATGAACTTTTCAATATTGCGATTGAGTTTCTTAAAATTTCATGACTAAGCATGTAAATCCTTCTCATTACTTTGATACAACTATTTTTATGCAAGTAAGATTCACAACATCCAACATTCAATCAAATTTTTGATTGAATGTTGACAATTGAAGACTAGATGTCATGACACTAAATTTAGCAGAATTGATATTTAGATGATAGCTTTAAGCGTCTCCACTTGCATCACCAAGTGTGCTGAATTGTCTCTATATTATTTGATTAAATGAAGGCAATTTGATATTATTGCTCTTTACCTTAAGTATTGTCGTTCAAATGCTACCATAATTATGAATTGCTTATATAATATAATATATGTAACTGTATAATTAAACAGGCACAGGCCTGACTTTACCAAGAAAAATAACTACACAAAATTTCATTCAGTCAATCTTCTTTTCTTCTACCTCCTTTCCTTCCTCTATAGCACTAGAGCCAGCTTTAAGCTATATTATAATCTCCTTCTCAACAATGTCAATTTGGTCACCATCACTTCACAAAGCTAGTGTCATATACAACAGAAGGAAGACCTTAAGCCAAAGAACCACATAATAAACTAAGTAATTACCCAAGCAACAGAGTTTCAAAGAATTTTGTAGTCTGAACTTTTAACTGGTAGTCATTGAAGAGTTCTTATGAATGACATTTTTCTTAACATGACTATCATAATTCCATCTAATGTTGGTAGAAAATTGCTCCCATGCCATTGTGCTGGTTGCATTCACCAGTTCAGTCCCTCATTCAATTTTGTTAGTTATGCTAACTAAGAGTTAAGTTTGGATTTTGTTGTGTTGCTTATACTGTAACGATAATTATTGTTTACTAGGCTAAAAGATCATTAGTGGTGAAGCCTTCCTCCTGAAAACTGCTTAATTCAATTTAATTTTGTACAACTTTTTCATATTCATGCCCAAGAATATATTTGTGCCATTTTATAATTCTTAAGACTATCCTACAAATCTGAATACCTGGCAGTTGGTAAAAATGAAATAGTAGATCTTCTTGTGGAAAATGGAGGAAAAATGAAAGGGGTAAACAAATATAAATACCTTGGTGTACTTTTTAACAATAAGGGAAATAGCCATGACGAAATTGAGAGACGAATAAGCTTGGGGAGAAACGTGACACGAAGTATAAACTCTGTCTTATGGAACAAAACCATCACTAACACTACTAAAAGACGTCTTTACTCCTCGCTAGTTAAGAGTGTTACAACATACGGTTCAGAAGTCTGGGAGATCGATAAAAGAACTAAAGGGAAGCTGCTGGCCCTTGAAATGGACTACTGGCGTAGAAGCTGCTGTTATAGCAGACGTGACAGAATCAGGAACAATGACATAAGAAATAAAATGGACGTCAAGAAATCTATCCTTGACGAAATAGAGAAAAAACAAATCGTCTGGTACGGTCATGTTATGCGAATGACAGACGAAAGATGGCCAAAACGAGTCCTGAAATGGGTGCCGACAGAAAGACAGAAGAGAGGAAGACCAAGACTTGCATGGCAGCAGGGAGTGCAAGAGGCTATGACGGCAAGAGAAATGCCAGATGATCTATGGTCCAATAGAGAGGCATGGAGACTGAGAGCGGAGAAACGGCGACAGCTGTAGAGCAACTCCGTACTATATATATATGTCTATCCTAAACAAGTACTACTTCGTGTAAGGAGTTAAAAATTTGACTCCAGAACCATACCTTAAATTAAAATATGGAAGACAACTTAAGACATACTTTTTCTATTTACATTAGCTGGACTCTGCACTAAAAGCAGTGCACTTAACAATAACTTAAAACAATAAATAATACTGTATTTACCTGAATATATATAGACTGACTATAAGATGACTCCATAATTTTGAAGGGGCCTCCTGAGAATTTTTTACAATTTGAACTAATTCTTACAATTTAGTCAAAATAAAATTCAAAATTGTCTTATTGACTAGAAAATTGCTTTGTTAATGAGAATGTTAAAATCTAGATTTAGATTTTTTTGTTCCTTAAAATTGTTGTAATTATGGTTTTTGTTATTATATTCATCATCTTCACATGAATCAATGTTTCTTCCTTTTTTGGTTCTCCTACCATGCTGCAACATTTTCAGACTTTTTAGACTCCTTGAAAAGTTTTGCGCATTGAATTTATATCATTGTAAGACTTTTATCAGATGCCACCTAAGAATATTTTCTATCTGTCCTGCACTTGTTGATGACCTCCGTTTCTTTAATAGTTCACAAGGCAGATTTGCACTTGCCAGGCATCAAACCAAGATTCCATGCAACCTCGTCAAACATGCATGGTAATAAAATCTAGGCATTCATTTTCACATTGTTTTATTTTATACAATGCAGTTTCTTTGAGATTCTTTTTGAGTCTATTAAAACAAAGAATATTGACTCAAATCACTCGGCAAATGCGGTGGATGCCGAGAATGTGACTGCAAATATATTTCATATTGTAGAAAAGCGCGATATTTTTACCGTCTTCGCAGCTTATTGTTATATCATCATTTACGAGTTTTTTGTCATTGAATGGCAATGTTAAAACTTAAACCCTAACCGACTACGCTTCATGTAGGAATATAAGACAACCTCACATTTTTTTCACTGAGATATATAGGAAAAAACTTGTCTTATATTCGGGTAAATATTAGTAATTGTTTTAAAACTGAAAATTGTTTCATAATAACCAAAATTTGAACAGCCAGCCCTTAAACTGTGAATTAAAGTGTTACTCTGTGAGAAAAACCCTTCTAATATTGAAACCAGTTATTTAAATTGCAGAGCAAATCAAATAGATCAAGGTGATTTACTTCAATCTTTTGCAAATAGCACATTCGTATTCGCCAGATATAAAACAGTTTGCACAGACTCGTTGATCAGTACACTGTGAAACAATTTTGACAATTGCGAAAGGAAAAACCAAAACTGCATTATACATCCCTTTGAAGAAATAAATAGTTTTTTAAGTTTGATAGCAAATTTTTATTTTTTCTTATTCCTTAAATCTACAGCTAACTGCATTACTTGCATCATGTGTAATCAAAATGTTTGGTGTAAATGCATTCACAATTGAATCTTTAAATGAACATATTATCTGAAAATAACATAATTACAGAGATACATTTGTACGTCCAGCTGTTCTTATGTACAATTGGATTCACTCACAGCTCCTTAACAATAAAAAATTACAAGGCAATATGTGCACACATACTCGTACACCTTTAAATAAAGTTTTATGGTGCTTGAAGGTCAAATTCTGCATAGACCATATCAACTAGTTCTCCCTTTCTCTTTCCTGTCACTTTTTGACCTCTTCCCATTAGAAAAGTTTTCAACTGATCCACTTTTAAGTTTCCAACCTAAAAAATAAAAGATATTGTACACAAACATTAAAAACATGTCTTTGAATTAGCATTGAGTGTAGTTGATGTGTAATGAATGTTTCATATAATAATCATTAAAAGAAATTAAAATTTTTGTTTAATAGTATTAGAAACAACTTCTAACAATCATAAAAAAACACTGACATATGATAATACACTTCAGTTCATACACATAAGTTATTCAACTAAATGTGAGAATATTAATTTTACACTAAACAAGGAAATAAAAATGCAAATTTATGTAAAATTAATATTGTGGTTTGGCATGTGTCATGGCAGCAATAATTTTCCTTTTTAAATAAAAATCTCAGTTATTTTTGGAATTACTTTATTTATTTAAAATAATTAATAAATGTACAGGCAATGGTAAACTGATAATAACCTGAATCATTTCATAGACTTAGGCTGACAGCAGCGAATAACAGTCAGTTGTAAGCATTCATTTTATTTGTACAGATATGAAACTTTTGAGTATGTATTCCTTTATCATTTCTGTAATGAAATATCCTACTGTGGTGAATGTTTATCTGTATTTTAAGATTTTATCTCTGCATACTAATAAACACAAACAAAAGGATCGCGCTGCATGTTTGTTGCTCTATTTATCTAATTCATTTAATTATTAGTCCACTTTTTATCATCACGACTCTTCTTAATTTTCAAACTGAATCATAGAGAAAAGAGTGTATTGTGTATCTTGTTAGTGCAAAGAGAGGTTACTCCAAAACTTGCTCCACTCAGAGATAGCACCACCACTGCATGACTAGTTCCGCAGATGATTGTGCCAAGTAGTGTGAGCACAGGGTCTTTACACCCCTACCAATTTCACTACTTCAGTTCTCAGTTGCAGAATTTTCTTTTATTGCAGACAGTTTCCAAATAGACAACACAAATATCTTTTTTGTATACCAGCATTTTAAAGGACCATCTTCATTGCAAGGAATTGCTCATACAATAGCATTTTTATGGCACAGATTATGACATATTAGCCTTTAGCATGAATAATTGCAAATCTCAGGGAGATGGTAATAAACCAAACAGCTGACAACCGTTTCTTGCACAGATGTCAAGTACTTGTGAGTCACAATAAAGTTGTTTCACAGAACAAACTTTGATTCTGTTATAAATTTAGAAGGCCATTGAAAAAAAAAAAAAAAAAGGAAAAAAAAAAGTGTACGTAACTTGTTTATAATTCCTTATAGTTCTTTTATTGCATTAGTACAAATTTGAAAATTTGCTCCTGAAGTCACTTGTTTTCAAAATGTGTAATTATGGAATTAAGCTTGACATTATAAGCATAGTTGCATAATACACAATTTTTCTATGTTAATAGCAATACCAATAAAATATCACCCCTAAGAACTGAGATAGTGAAATCAGTAACGGGGGATAAAGAAGTAGAGTGAGAATCTGTGCACAGACTACTTGAGCACCATCTTCTGCAGCATTAAACTAGTAATAATATCTCTTAAGGGCACAAGGTTCATGAAATATGCGATAAGAAGAAATTTGCAATAGCTATAGTCCTATACAATAATTGCATGCAATAAAACATTCATCAAGGATAAACTCACAAGTTAATGCTACAAATAATGAGCAAAAAACAATTAAAAAGGAATAATAAGAAAATGTTCTTTACCACATACCTTCCCATTATTTGCAAGCTCTTCAATATCTAAATCTTCACTTTTAAGTTGCTTTACTTTCCTTTCAAAAGCATCGTTTGCAGCCATCCTCTTGCCTGGTTTGGCAGGAGTAATGAGATCTTTAGTGTTGAAAACCTCTTCAAACTTTAAATCAATTTTGTCTAATTTTTTCTTTATTGATTCATATTTCGGCTCTGCAACAACCACATTATTAAAGAAACAGTTTACATATTTTTTTACAGAAAATTTTGATAATCGAACAAATTCTTTGGTATCTTACTTGTAGTATCTTCAACTTCTCTTTTATTTGGCATTTCCAGAGCAAGAGCTTCAATTCCAGCCCACAAAGTTTGAAGAACAGGGTTCTGAAAATCATGTACTGAAAACTTGAATGTAAGCTTTGACACAACCTCAGCTGCAAACTTGCATTGTGTTTCTGTTGCATCTTCCATATTTTCAACCTCAATAGTTCGAATATTTGCTGCAAATAAATTGTAAAGAAATGTCAACAGTTTAAAGGCAGAATACAATGAATTGTACAATTTCCTCACTATTCTGAGAGCTGATAATTGAGGTGTGCTAATTAAGAGCCTATCATGGACCCTTTTCTGGGTTTTTCATTGAGCTTTTAATTTCCAATAACAGATACAGATCAAATAACTTACTAAAAGTGATTTGTTTTACAGAATGAAATTTTAATGCCATCCAGTCAGGAATCAAAATTCTTGTAAATTCAATGTAAATGATCATTACTCAAAATTTATTTTCATTTAGTTTTCTGCATATCATATAATGCACTGAAATATTATTTTCCAGTTTATTTTATGTTCTTTGGAAAAAGTACTATTATAAAATGTCGTAATATGTTGAATTAATATATGTACCGCAAGAATTGTGAAATTTATGAAAGAGTTTATTATATCAGCAGCACTTCCAATTTATGTTTGCCTCCACAGTTCTATTAAAGAATTGTGCTACAAACATTCAATTGTGTATTTCCTTAAAACCATTTTGATTACTCCCTTAGGAGAATGCTGAACTTTTCCCAGATTCTTTAAGCAAACATTCTCAGTTTCAACAGGTAGTTTCTAACGCATTACAAATGATACGCACCACAACATACTTATGTTATACATAAAATTATAAGCCAGATAACATACAGACGTAGGAAATAAAATAGTGGAGAAATTTGAAGAAGTAAACGTGATTGAGAGCAGACACTTGATATGCGACTCGATTTTTCTCTCACCAACCAATAAAGAAGAAATTTTAAAATAATAAACAACATGAAATTAAGTAAATTGGCCGGAACACATAATATTCCAATAAACACTATAAAAAGAATCTCTCCATGTATAGTTGAACTATTTGTACATCTTGTAAATAAGAGTATTGCTGAAGGCATTTTTCCAGACTGTTTGAAAAAAACCTGAAATAATACCAGTATTTAAGTCGGGAAATACTCAAAAGATGACTAAATTATAGGCCCATATCACTGACATTGAACTTTGCTAAGATCTAGGAAAAAGAGCTAAAAAATGGAATATCTGACTTTAATCACCAAACACATTATACATAAGTTTCAATTTGTTTTTCAGGAAAACAAAAGCACAGAAGAAGCACTAATGTATATGACTGATCAAATTTGTAGTACAGTAGATGAAAATTTTCCAAACTTAGCATTTGGTGTTGGATTTAGCAAAAGCAGTTTACACAGTGAACCATAAGATGTTATTAGTTCAACACACAACTATGGGATTACTATTACAACTATTTAGAGGGATCATGCTTAAAAGCTACCTTACTAATATGAAAGAAGTAGTTAGAATCAATAAAACTATTAGTAGCCAGATGGAGTTAACTTTTGGGGTGCAACAAAGAACCCTGGGCCCCATATTATTCATATTGTAAATAAATGATCTATATGATGTTCTGCCGAAAGGCGAATTCATAGCTTTTGCAGATGATACTAGTCTCTTCATAAAAGGTAACTCATGGCTAGAAGTGGAAAACCTTGCTGAAGCTAAACTGAGTACAATTGCGAAATGCTTGAGTACAAATTACCTAACTTTAAATATATTTAAAATGGTTTTTGTGACTTTTGGTAGTTACATAGATAGTATACTATTAAATATTGAGTCGCTGTCCTCATATTGTTAGAGGTTATATCAAACACTTGGATGAAATTATTGATTGTAATTTGAAATGGGGACAAGATATTTCTTATTTTTACTAACAAATTGCGAAATCTGATCTATGTGTTTTATAATCTACGACTTATTTTCGGTACAAAAAATCAACTGAAAATGATCTACTATGCGTTGTTCAAGGCAATTGTTACATACGGCATAATTGTGTGGGGTGGTACCAATAAAAACACCTTAAAACAGTTTCAGGGTATTCAAAACGGAATTTTGAAAATTATTTATTAGATTATATTAGCAATAGGGTACTTAACTTGTTGAGTGAGTATATCAAATATGTTACGCATACCTCTAGTAAAAAGTCAAAGAGAATCAGAGGAATTTTGATAGACTTCTAAGCAGATACTGTCTCATCCCTATTCACACCATCCAAATGAGAGAAAAGAAAAAACTCTTGAAAAACTAAATATATGTGAATGTTATAATTATGTGTGTATGTATTTTTTGGAGATTCTTGCTGCTTCTTTTTAAACTTTCCATCATATAATAGCTTAGTGTTTGTTTTTAATGTTTTACGTTCTTAGATTGTTTAATTGTTTGAGTGATTACAGGCACATCAACTACCTGGGTCATTAGTCCCATAAGTGTAGCACATGTATTACCTAGGGCGGTAGTGGCAATCTTTCGCTAGCTGTATGGTGAGATCCGGCACCAACCTACCGTCGGGTAGTGGGGTTTTCCTCAACAAGGTATCTCCCACAAGCAGGGCACCGCCCCATCCGGGACAAGCTCTAAGCTCCCGACCGGTCTCCTGGTGTGCGTGTGTTTGTGTAGTGCGTGTTAGTGTAAGTGTATGTGTAAGAGGAGAGGATAGGAGAAGGATGAGGCAGGAAAGATTGAGCGGTCCGTGGCCCATTTGCCAGGGTACTGTTCCAACATTTGCTTGGTGTTGATCTGAGAAACCACGGAAAACTACAGATCACAGCAGCCAGACAATAGAATTCTCCTCCAGACAGCAACTGAATTCGACCTAGCTGACAAGTTAGTGTCGAAAATCCTGCCACAATCAGGACATGAACCTAGGACCTGCAGGACATCAATTGATGCCCTGAGCCATCTCACCTGATTTGTTCTTAGAGCGTTTATGAATTTTTTTACCTAATGTAATGTCTGTGGCGTTTACCTAAAAACATTCCCCTTTAAATTACTTCATTTAAATGTGAGGACAGTGTTGGTAGTTGGGTTGGTGGATAGAATGGTGAACTTGTCAGAAACTATGTATTACAACAAGAATTTAGAATTGATTTTCAAGTTACTTACTTGCCACTAACTAGCCACTAACATTTAGTAGAAAATTTTTTGAGAGAAATGTAGTAGAAGAAAGTAAGATCTTGTAAGAATTGTTTTACCATATGTTACTAACGTTAAAAACAAAATAAAAAAAATGAATATAAAGAAAAGTTTAACATTAGTAACATTGATAAAACTATCCAAAAAAAACACCAACAGAATGTAGTAAGTGTAAAGCCCATGTGGGTCAGACCTGTACAAGGCTGAGTGAGCACTAAAAAAATATAAGTAAGGGTATTCAAAACTATAATTCCATATCCAATCATAGAATAACTATGATACATGAATTTAATGTCAAAGAGACTGAAATTCTATGTATTGAATCAAACAAAAAGAAGATGTTAATTTTAGAAATCCTTCATATTAAAAATAATGAAACAATACATCCTATAAGGGGAGTCAAATTTGTTTACAAAATGTTACGATGGAGTCATGCAATTTCTTGGAGATCCTTAGTAATATTGGCAGATACATAGTAATGATTCAGCTTTCTCTTTGCCTTCTTGGGGTCTGTGGCACACGGGTGTATAAAGTTTGTTAAGATAGTTTGTTAAGTGATGTAGGTATAATTTGCACTGAGATAATCTTTGAATTTGTTAATGTTTGATTTATGTGGAGTAGAAAATATTTTTATGGAGTGATGTAGATACAATTTGTACTGAGATAACCATTGTATTTTCAACTGTAGAGGTATGTAGACTTTAAGTGGACATGATGTTTTAATAGTAATATATAATGACGATCACAAATATTTCATTTTGTTATGTAATATTGATACATTACAAGTCTAAGTATATGAGAAATTTTATAGATTAACACAAGTGGATTGTAATATTGTTTTATACTTTAATGTGTTATAGACTGAAGATATAGTAAATTGTACTCCGAAACATGAAAAAATAACTTTGTGAGTTTTCAATAAATAAACAAAAATGTATGTTGTCTATAATAATAAATGATGCTTTATACAAACCAATCAAATGTTTGAAATGACAACAGTGGCAAATTAAATGTTAAAAAACAAATATTCATATTTGAATATGAAAGAGACTCAATCCAAGTAACATACTAATGATACTAATGGCATTACATTGACAGCAAATTAATTTTCTAAAAAGGGAGTTACAAATATCATGCATGGCATTACTAGTATCTGCCTTTACATTCAAAGTTTTTGATTTTTTTAAGATTTGAAAATACATTAACATTGCAGTTAACTTTCTTTTATATTGGTTGTTTTCAATTTCTAGAATTTAACATCATCACACTGCATAAGATAGTTATTAATGAATATAAGCTTCATAATAATATTGTCTTTGCGTTTTTATTCTAGTTTTTAATGCACACTTTGTAGTTTGTTCTCGCTTCTTGTTGTTCATATTGCACTCCGGTTCTTTACATGGCATGGCTAACCTCAAAGGGAGAAGAAGCTAAACATGGAGGCCATTGCTTCCGGAAGTTTGTTCTAAGAGTAACCACTTTGGTAGTAATAAAATTAGAGTATTATGCTTGCTTGAATTACGTTTTTAATTAGTATCATAGAGGTCTCAGAGTTCAGTATTTAAAAAAGATTCCATGAAGATTAGTGTTATAATCCAAGTGTAAGATCTTATACATCTTGATCATGTCAGCTTGTTTTCTTATATCACCTAGCAATAGCAGTTCAAGTTAAGCTAGTTGCTTTGCAAATGTGATTTTCATATTCTCAAAAATTAAAAACTACTTCCTAAATCTTCATTGACACACTACATGTTACAATTTTAGGTCACAAAAAAGTTCTGATAATCACCAAGGGAATAATCAACTTTTTGATAACAAAAATAAAAATAACAACACTTTACACCACCACTATCATCATTAATCCCAAAAGTAGAAACAACAAATTTTTCAATAATAATATAAAAAAAAACATGAGAAGGGTGAGGTTGAGCTAACCACATGGGCTTCTTCCTCGACAATGGAGTGAAAGGTACTGAAGCACACAAGTCAACCAATGTGTCACAAGTCTGGCACAAAGGGTTAACATAAATAAAAATATATTAATCAAGCACAATAACATCCAAATTATACATGCATAAAAATATATACAGAAAGCTGAATATTTTAAAACATATCAGTCTGATACGTACCAGATGAAGGTAAAGCATATGCATGAAAACCACCAGCTATTTCTTGAGCACCTGATTCTGAATTAAGTTGTTCCAATTGAGGAAAGAATGCAAAATGTTTGGGTTGAGCAACTTGCCTCAGTACTCCCTGACAAATCATTACTTTTCCATGATGTGCACAGCGATTCAATAAAGCCGCAAAAGTCTTCCTACTTCCTACACAAACACACACATTCACATAAATTCATAAAATAAACCACTAAAGTAGTAAATCAGTGTCAGAAAGTAAACTTTGTAAGCTGCTCAAAATGAATAATAAAAAAAGGTAATTATGATCATTTCATGATACAACTATCACAAACATCCTAGAAGAATCTCCATGACTGAGAAAAAATTCTGCTTTCTAAAAAATCAAAACAATGTGAAGTTTCAGTACATAAGATGAAGAAAAAGAAGAAGGAGGAGGAAGAAGAAGAAAGAGAAGGAGGAGGAAGAAGAAGGAGGAGGAGGAAGAAGAAGGAGGAGGAGGAGGAAGAAGAAGGAGGAGGAGGAAGAAGGAGA